GAACCCTACACACAGTCACTATGAGTTGGAAGCAACTTGATAGCACAAAACAACACTAATGCTAAATGGGTTTCACTGGAGTTTTCAGACTAACACAGACTAGGAAGAATCAAGGCCAAATTTGATGATGGTTGCTAATGGCCATTGAGTCAGTTCCAACTCATACTGAGCCTCTATAATGTTTCTGAGATAAATCTTTAAAGGAGCAGAAAGCCTCATCTTTCTTCTGTAGAGCTGCTGACCTTGTGGTTAGCAGTCCAATGCTTATCCTACAGGGCCACCAGGCATGCTGAAGGTACAAGGAATATGGAATGGGTGATGGAAGAAGGTAGCACACGAAGGCCATGGGACCAGTTGTAGAAATGATAACTGTTCAAGAGTATTTTTACCATGTTCACTTACAAAATATAAGGTAAACATGGGGTCACGGCATTTTTCGGTTGTATGCATGTTAGTTGTATCACGTTATGCTCAAATATGGCTTTATACTTGTCTTTTTAGAAGTTATTATATGCATGGCCTAAGTTGTGGGTTGATGTGCAGCACTGCAAGGTTGGGGGTTCAAGCTCACCAGCTGCTCTGTGGAAATCCTATACAGGGTCACTATGAGTTGGAACCGACTTGATGGCACGTAACAACAATAACAATATGGAATAGGTTATTCGGGGTAGGTGGTAGAATGAGTGTTTGTGGTTGTTACCACGTTCAACACCATATAGAACATAGAGTAGAATATCGTGGCATGAGCGGTCCTGAATCTGAGGCTTGGCTTTTCCACTTCGTGCAACTTTGGGCATTTCCTGTTCCTTTGCATTAGTTCTGTCACAGGTTAAATGGGGATACTAATAGAGATAAATCTTAGAGGACTGCAGTGAACTAACAGAATTAATGTGAAGTGCTTGGCCCCGAGAGAGCGCTCAGTGATTTGCTGGAGTGGAAAAGCCAGTGTTGTCTGAGCTCTCAGACCTGCCCCAGGCGGTACACTGGGAAAACACCCGCACCTTCTGTTGTCAGAGCGACCCTGGAAGACAGAGGAAAACTGCCTTATCCTTCTCCTGGGAACATTGTACAAATCAGGATTCCGTATAGAGCCCCGCTGCTGACCCCAATTTATCTACAAAGAATACAAAAAAACCATGGCCCGTTACATCTATGAACGTGGACTCAAATTCCTACATTGCATAGGTTTTATTGATGACAAATTTGCTGTGATGGCATCAGGCCATCACAACTTCCTCATGTAGAACATGTAACCACATGGCTAAAGAGCCACACATTAGGGTTAGCAACACTGTTTGCAGGATTCAACAGGCCTGTTCATTGTTACAGCCTTGAACTTAAAGATAATACAGTCAAACCCAAAAACTCTCCATCACCAGACAACATCAAAATCCGTCGGTGGTGTGATTTTTTCATGTTAAATCATAAATGAAGAAATCCTACATAGCTTAAGTAACCTCCTTTCTGTGTTGGTTAGGGAA